ATAATATTATGTTAAAATAGTGGATGTTAAATAGGTTTGTACAAAAGTCCAAACAAGTTTAACCAAAAAATCTTCATTTCTCACAATTATGAAGGCTGGAGGGTCAGGGTTAGGTTTAGGATTAGGGTCATTAATGTGGGCCACCAGCCACCATAACGTCAGTAACAGGTCAGTTTGAAACCAAAGACACTAACCTTTAATTTTCTTTAATTTCCAGAGGTCTAAGTCTAACCTGTCAAAATTCAGTTCAATTTTGGGGTCTTTGTTTTTATCGTTGTGGTATCGAAAATGGTATCGAGTATCGGATATTTTCCTGAGTATCGGTATGGAGTTGAACATTTTAGTATGGTGACAGCCCTAGTATGGGGGCAGAGTGGGTGGGGGGGGTTGGGGGGAGTTACCTTGGCCTTTCCTCCCTGTGTCTCCAGAGAAAGCTCCTCCAGCTCCTTCAGGATGTCGTCCTCACTGCGGGGGGAGCACACACTCACACTCACTCAGAGGCTCAGACAGGAGAGGAGCGGAAAAGGAAAAAGCGCCATACTCAAACTCCTCCTTCTTGGCTCCTTTCTTCTTCTTCTTCCCTTTCTGCTCCTTGGAGGCGCCGGCTCCTTCGATCTCGGCCGCCAGAGCGTCGATGTCCACGCCGTCATCTTTGGCACTGCACACAGGTCAGAGAACATCAGGCGGCGGGCAGAAAGCTGGTCACATGACAGCTTTTTGTGTCAGAACAATGACCTGCTGACTCTCCGGTCCTTTTATGTCCCATCACACTGACCTGAGAGCAGCCCCACATCAAATACAAGGCTTTTGTGGCCTTACATCCCCATTAAGTGATCTGTTTTGATGTTTCTTCGTAATATAAATGAGAGAAATTCCCTCAGAAAAACACCATCAGCTGGAGAAAAGGTCCAGTTTTCACAGCCAGGAAGCGGTAGAGGGTTCATGTTGTCATGTTTGCCGGGCAGGTTAGAGAACCGTGGCATAATAATGGACTTATCTGAGTTACAGCAGCATAATAAACTTTTAGTTACCTAATGACTGACTTTAAAGTCAGATACAAACACCCAAAGCAGTCACACACATGTGCAGCACAGCACAACACTGTACTAAAAAAAACATTTTAAACTGTTTAGAAAGGGGGATTAGACCAAGTTATTATAAAATCCTAAATCAAGTCATCAGTCCTTGTTGTAAAGTTGTTTAACGTGTATTTATTGTGAGTATAAGATAGTGTAATGTGTGTTAAAGTATATCTAATGTGCCTACATAGTGTGAGATATGTAGTTTACTGTGTGTTTAAAGTTTATTTAATGGGTTTAATGAAGTTTCATGTGTGTTTACCGATAGAGTTTGACCTGTCCGTGCTCAGGTGTGAGGTCAGCAGGCCCAGCAGGGGGTACCCGGGCTAGGATTAGCCAACAGGTAAGCACACCTGAGCAGCTGGGACTTTAGTGGGAGTTAAACGCAGACAGCCGGCTGTTGGGAGCTAAAGCGGCTATCTGTGCCGGGGCTACACAATGTGCACACAAAATGTGGAGAACAACACTCCCGAGGCTGAGGTTAACCCGGGTGATGCGTGCCAGTCGGTTTGCCGGCTGTGTTAATTAAACCTGAGCCATTTTAAGGCTGTTAACAGCATCACCTGCACTCACACACGTCCAATGACTCGTGGTTAGCACCTGCTAACACCTAGCCGTGTTAGCCGCTAAGCTAACAGAGTAAGCAGAGCCGGACCGCTCCATTTTGGGGGCTAAACGCGGCACAAACGCTCCCACGGCTTGCCAACAACCTGGACAGGTGACTTCTGGAATCAGGTCGGGGTCGGCCTACCTGTCCTCTCCGGATTTCTTCTGTTTCTTCCCCATCCTGCCGCCGCGTTTCTGAGGTTACTTCGCTCTCCGTTGGCCGACTCACACCACGGCTCACATTGGACAAAGATGGTTTATTCGGGACGCGGTGGGAAGAAGCCTCACTCCCACCATTTTTCCCGCTCATGCGTGTGTGTACGTTGTCATGGTAACTTCGTTTGCGTCGACGTTTAGTCCGCAACACTTTATGCGACAATACTATTATAAGCGCGCAAAATCAATAATTCTATTCCGCTTGAAAAAATAATTAAAGGAAAAAAAATCAAGATTTTTGTTTATGGAGAAATTATCGAAGTGATGCCTCTTGAGGCGCCTTCTTCACAGCAATGCGCATGACTGGAATCGGCAGGTTTGGCGCATGCGTATTTCAACCTGACGTGTCGGCCGTTCTTTCTGAGTTGACGGTCGTTTCATCAGTTTTCTGGAGTTTAATGCATGACAAGCCTGAAATCCCCAAATGAGTCATTAAAATGATCAAAAACTGAGTTGACCAAAAATATTTAGGTTATCATAGATCAACTACAGTGGACAGAAATGTGTTTCTCCTGAAAAAAAAAACCTTTCAAACCTGAATAAAACCATGAAAAAAAACGCATTACTCAACAATTTTCTGAAAACTTTCCATTGAAAAAAACTTTATTGTATTATCCCTGTGAGTCTATGTTTAAATTCGACCAAAAATGACATTTTCCTACACATCAAATATAGTTTTAATTCTAAATAAAAAACATAAATCCATGCTTTATGGCACTTGTATTGATGGGAATTGAATTCTCTGTAAACAAACAGATGAAACATCACAGCTCTCAGGAAACAGAGGCCCTGGATGAGCTTTAATGATAACCCAGTGAACATAATCAGAAAATCCAGCTGACTCTGGTGGACAACAGCAGCGAATTCTCCCGGTCTGTTGTGTGTTTTTGGGGCGGGTTTCTTCTTCTGTGGTTTAAAGCCTGCAGAGTCTCCGGGCTCAGCCCATGGCGGCCAGCACGGCCTCGCTCAGCTGCAGCAGGCGTCCGTGGAGGCGTCCGCTCTCGACTCGCAGCAGGGCGGCGGCGGTGGCGGCGGCGTCCTGGGGACAGAACCGCCCCCCCACCAGGCCCTGGCTCAGCTGGAAAATCAGCCCCGGGGGGAGCCAATCGGGGGGCACCTGGAGCTGGCAGGCCTCCACCCGCCCGCCCTTCACCTCCATGTGGAGCTGGGCGGAGCAGCACGCCGCCCTAAGCCCCGCCCCCAGATCTGCCCTAAGCCCCGCCCCCAGCTCCAGCTGCTGGTCCCTAAGCTCCGCCCCCAGCTCCAGAAGCTCCGCCCCCAGCTCCAGCCGCTGGTCCCTAAGCTCCTCCCCCTGCTCCGTCCTAAGCCCCGCCCCCAGCTCCAGCCGCTGGTCCCTAAGCTCCGCCCCCATGTCTGCCCTAAGCTCCGCCCCCAGCTCCAGCCGCTGGTCCCTCAGCTCCAGCTGAGTCTCCAGGCTGAACTTGGGCGTCTTGCCGAAGGTCCAGTCCCAGCTGCGCAGCTCGGCCGCCATGCTGCCCACGCCGGGGAACTCGCTCTCATTGGTCGGGTCGACCGGGATGAGGGCGGAGCTCAGCCCGAACTCTGGGGGTCAGGGTGAGCACACCGGGATTATTACTGCTGTTATTACTGCTGTCATTATCGTTAAGATCAATATTTTTACCATTTTCCATCCAGTCTGTCTGTTACTGTGTAGGGTGCTCTCTCTCTCTCTCTCTCTCTCTCTCTGTTTCCCTCTCTCTCTCTCTCTTGCCCTCTCTCTCTCTCTTTAACCCCCCCTCTCTAGGCAGATGCCCCCCCACTCTGATCCATGGTTCTGTTCCAGGTTTTTCCCTCCCTGTGTCTCCTAGTGCTGCTCTTGGTGGGAACTGCTGTTCTTCTGGAAATAACTTCAGAGTCTGAGCTGCTCTGTGATTGGCTGGGAGATAATTGTAGTTGGGATGTGGAGCTATAGAAATAGAAATAAAACTGAACTGAACTGAAAACCCACCTGTGTTGAACTGCTGCCTGATGGCCTCCAGAAGCTCCTCCCACTGCAGCGAGGGGGCGTGGTCGGCCAGGTTGGCGACGGGCGAGGGCACGCTGGGCGTGGCGTTGCTATGGATACCGGGACAGGAGGGGCGGAGCACGGCGTGGAGCGCGGAGCGGTCGGCGGAGTGCAGCAGCGTGCAGTGGTGGTAGGACGACGTCCGGCTGAGTCTGGACGCCGTGCCTGGAGGAGGGAGGTCACCACACTAAAACTTTCAACTCCATACTCAGGAAAATATTCAATACCATTTTCCATACCCCAAATTTAACGGAATTTTAACAGGTTGGTGTCTTTCGTTTCAAACTGACCTGTTACTGATTTTATGGTGGCCGGTGGCTCACATTAATGACCCTAACCCTGACCCTAACTCTCCATCCTTCATAATTGTGAGAAATAAATATTTTTGGTTAAACTTATTTGGACTTATTGTACAAACCTATTTAACATCCACTATTTTAACATAATATTATGTATAGAGTTTAATTCAGTGTTTGCAAGATTTATTTCACTATTTTTAAATGAATGTCTATATTGCCATGAAGCAATTAGGATTTTCTTGCCTGGGATCTTCCTATTGGTGACCTAATAAAAATGGCCGACTTGGATGTGGGGGAGTTGAATATCCATCCTTGCCTTCCTGCAGACTTGATTAATGGTTGCATGTTATTATTAGGCATTAGCAGCAGTTAGCTATTCAAAGCTAACGTCACGTTAATGATCATAAACAACGTAAATGAATAAATAAATCAGAGAGAATTGGGGCAGAGGGAGGGGGGTATCGATGCTTTTGAAAATGAGTATCGTATCTGGATACAACGTTTTAGCATAGATACTTTTTTGAGTATGGATACTTTTGACCCCGCCCCACCTGAGATCTTGTAGCGTCCATTCAGCAAAATGTCGAATCTGTCGGTGGCCCGGACGTCCAGTCCCGGCCGGAGCCGCCTCAGGGCCTCGGTGACCACCCGCAGGTTCCTCTGCCGGTCGTAGGCTTTCTTAGAGGCGAAGAAGGTGAGGTTGAGGTTCCCCAGGTCGTGGAACACGGTTCCGCCGCCGCTCCTCCGGCGGGCCAGCGGGACCCCCGCCGCCCGCATGACCCGCAGGTCGCACTCCGCCCAGGGGTTCTGGTGCCGGCCGATGACCACGGCGGGCCGGTTCCTCCACAGCAGCAGCAGGTGGCGCCGCTCCAGGTCCACGTGCGCGTCGATCCAGTCCTCCAGGGCCAGGTTCTGGTGCACGTCGGTGGACCCAGACAGGAGCACCAGGCCGGCGCCGGCGGGGTCCAGAAACAGCCCACGGGACGCGGGAGGAGCAAACCAGGGTCCAGACACGGCCCTGAGGAGGGAAAACGTCCCTCTGGGCTGAGACCTCATCATGTTTCCGGGTCACTGTGGCCACCGACACATGTTGGGATCATCTGGAACATCACAGAGACAAAGCTCATTTAAAAAGCACCTTATACTGTTTCTCAAAAGTTCCCAGTCATGCACTCACTCATTTTATTTTTGTAATGTCATTGTCTGAACGTGTGTCTCTCTGTTTTAACTGATATTGTATTATGTGATTTTGTGTTGTTTTGTCTTCCAGATGCGAATTAGCAATAGTGCTAGAATCTGGCTCATTTACAATCTGTATGAGATTGTTCATTAATGTGCTCTGTCCTTATTAAATAAATAAATAAAGAACCACTTATCATGAACGTATTCATTCATCAGCCGAAAAGCTGATTAAAGACAAAACGGCGTCCAGAGGAATGAGAGCTTAGACAGCCGAAGGCTTGTTTTGGATGAAAGAAGGTCTCCAGCAGGCTAATACAGTCTGTTATTACTGTATGCAACTCTACAATTATGTATTTTTTAAAGCAAATACACAGCTGCTTTTAAGCTAAAATAGTTGATTACGCAGAAAATTATCTTTGGTTGAACTAATGAAATACTGTAACACTCAGGCAGGATGGAGAATGACCTTTGACAAATAACATACATTAATCACCAACAACTAAAACCTCTATCTAGGTTTTTAAAAATGTTCGTGATTATGGATTGTAGGGTTATTTATCGTGTTTTCCTTTATTCAGATAGAAAACAGAAAGTAATCTAGTAAAACTTTTATTTTGAGCTACATTTTAAACTAAAGATTCATTTTAAAAACTAAGCTTTTAGTTCTTAAAATGAAAACAAACCTGCTGAAAACGTAACGTAAAGCTACGTAACGTTTTGCGACGTCACGTGTGACGAAACCGCCATCTAAAAAGGAAAAGCTAGCATTAGCTACAGCCCACATCGCAGTCCTCGCTTTGATACTGTAACTCATAACTAAAACTCATGTGAACTTCATTTTTATTGTTCAATAAATTGACATTTTGTACTCTGGTTTGAGTTAGGACTGAGAACAGCTGCTGACCTGGACCGAGGGGAGCTCATCCGGATGTGGAGGACTTGGAAAGGACAAACTTCGATTGACAACTTCCGCTCTGAACCTTCACAGTAAAAACCGAGTTATTTCAATGTTTTTTTAAAGGTTTCACAACCAGTTTGTGTAGATGGGAACAACACAATGAGCTCCAGTAATAAGCAGCATTATCAGGCTCCGGTTTCTCGCGAATATGTTTTTAATTTCACGGCTTTCATCCGTAATGAGCTCAGGGAGCTAACACACGGATTTATAATTTAACTAAGTTACACAACTTCAACTGAAGCTGTCTTTAAGACCCCCTGCTCTTGTTACTTTAATGTTATGAAACACCCTTTAATATCCTATAGTTAGTGTTGTTTGTGAGTATATTTTGGTGGTTCTACGGATGTACATTGAACTTTATTTAAATAAAGTTGTGGTCCGTCACTGACATCGCACCGGGTTTATGCCTCTGTCTGCTGGTCAAAGGTTCCTCTGGCAAGCGTTTCCCCCTCTTTTTATTCAATTAATTTAGTCACTTATATTTAATCTAAAATGTTAATTTGATTCACCAAAATCTTTTCAATGTTTTTTTTGTATTTTTACAGGAAGAAATGTTCAGAAAGATATCAAAACTAAACATATCCACTTTACATTTAAAATGATTGGACTAATTAAAATGCAGTCTTGTGTATTTCAACAAAAAAGGAAACTCCAGGCTCTGTTCAGTCACGCAGCTCGCAGCAGCTGTGTGAGTTAGATTTCAGGAAGTCACACAACAGCCAACAAACTATTTCAATAATGAAAAAAAATACACACAAAACACTAACCCTATCATTTTAAATAGGCTTTGGATCCTCACATGTTGAATTATTGAAACATAAATGCTGTAACTTAACATATAAGGTCACATGTGTTTGGTCAGACCTGTCATGAAGAACCTGCATCTTGTTTCATATGTTTAGCTATTCATTGATTTGAAATGTGACTGACTTTTAGAGCTTCAATCTTATTTCTGTTTGAGCTTTTTGTCTCTTAGACCTCTAAACTCGTCATCATGAGGAAGAAGTAAAGAGTCAGAAGAGTCGACCGGAGAGAGGAACAACATGTGACCACATCCTGACAACACAAAACACACAAACACACACAGTGAGAACCAGTAGGTCGGAGCTGCTGCAGTTTCAGGTGAGCACTCATCTCATTCAATTCATTTCCAAACCAAATGGTCATTTCACCTTTCTGCTGTTCCTTTTTAGCCTAACATGGTCATTAGAACGACGGATTAACACAAACGACCCTCTGAATCTGGGACATAAACTTTTCATTCGAAACTTTTGTGGTTTATTTGATCATTCGAAAATATTATAAACAGGAACACACTAAGTTTGCTTTCCATGTTAGATTTTAAATCAGTTTTTTCCATTTTTTTCTGACAAAACCAAATCAAGCTGTTTAAAAGATAATTAGATAAACAGTGTGTGCAGGCTCTTATGAAAAATAATTTCCATATTCTGGAAAATAAAGAGAAGCTTGAAGAGAAGTCTACTTTTAATGTTCGCTGGGTGTGAATTTTTAGACGTGTCCTGCTATCGTACATTCACACTTAGTCATATCGATGCGTTCGGCTCTCTGTGGTCGGCACGTCAACAGTAATGGAGATCTATTCTGATAAGTTCCACGTTAATCTTTCCACTGAGGTTGACTGTGAAAGAGCAGCTTGTTCTAAAAGCGAAAAACTCAAAAATGATTTGAAGAAAAGCCTGAGTTCCATCTTTCCTGACCTATTCTCAGATCCTGAGTCTGTAGAAAAGATCAACAGAACTGTCCACTGGTTTATAAAAGGCAATCCACCTTTATTTATGTAGCACAATTTAAACAAACACGGGTTTACCAAAGTGCTGCACAAAAACATATCCAGAAAAATAAAAAACACAGTAGAAATTCAGCTAAAAGTTTAAAAAAATATGCATGAGTATACATAAAATCAACACTCTCCATGGTGTCAAAAGCCAAAGAAAAGCCAATTTTATAGAGTTGTAATGTGGTGTTTCTTCCCTCTGGTGCTCACAGTCCTGCCCGGGGTCCCTGCAGGTTTCCATGACGACGCCCCCCCATTAGGACGCCCCCCCC